CATTTGTGGCTGCTTTCTTAGGTCTACAGTAGAGCTGGAGAAACTGAGGCTTCAGAAAGTTTGAGCCACATGATTTAGGTAAGAAATCTTCTGTACAGAGCAGGTGGGCTTTAACTCACTTGTGTTCTCCAAAGCCTGAGTCTTTTCACATAGCCAGAGTAAGGTCATTCAGCACAATAGGATCTTTTTTTATTTTTTTCCCCTTAAAATTCATGCATTTATTGTTCCAGACAAAATGACTTAGAAAGTTATTATTGAATAACATTCTGATAATATTTTGTAAAACTGTCAATTAAAGGAATGGAATCTTGCCATTGACAACACTACGGATCGGGCTAGAGAGTATATTGCTAAATGAAGTTAATCAGAGAGACAAATACCATATGATTTCACTCATATGTAGAATTTAATAAACAGAACAAAGAAGCACGGGGGAAAACAAGAAAGAGAGAGAGACAAACCAAGAAACAGACTTTTACCTATAGAGAGCAAACTGTTGGTTACCAGAGGTGAAGTTGGTTTGGGGGTGAGTGAAATAGGTGATGAAGATTAAGGAGTGCACTGTGATGATCACTAGGTATTGTAAAGAAGTATAGAATCACTATATTTTAAACTTAAAGCTAATACTACACTGCACGCTACTAACTACAACAAACTGCAATTTAAATAAAAACTTAAAAACAACACAAAACATTGCAGGGAATACAAAAGAAAAAAAGAAAAAAAACCAAAGTCACAGTGAAATGTCATCTTGGACTTGCTAAAAGGCTGTTATTAAAAAATTAACATTTAAGAAATATTGGTAAGGATATACAGCAAAGAAAACTCTGGTACATTACTGGTGGGAATGTGAGTTTGTGAAGCCATCTTGGAAAATAATATGTTGGGTCCTCAAAAAATGACAAGTAGAGGGGCGCCTGGGTGGCTCAGTCAGTTAAGCGTCCGACTTCAGCTCAGGTCATGATCTCATGGTTCGTGGGTTCGAGCCCCGCATTGGGCTCTGTGCTGACAGCTCAGAGTCTGGAGCCTGTCTTCAGATTCTGTATCTCCCTCTCTCTCTGATCCTCTCCTGCTCATGCTCTTTCTCTCTCTCAAAAAATAAATAAAACATTAAAAACTTTTTTTAAATGACAAGTAGAATGAACTTATTTTCCAGCAATCCACTTCTGAGTGTTTATTCAAAAGTATTGTAATATATTTCAAAAATATACCTATACTCCCCTGTTTATTGCAGCATGATTCAAAATAGCCAAGATAATGGAACAAAATAAATGTCTATTGAAAGATAAAAATAAAAGAATTATGTTTAAGGGACCAAAGATGATCAATTCTGCCAAGTCATGCAGTACACTTTGGAAAGACAGTTTTTGCAAATTGGTTCTGATAAATACTTTTTGAAAATTTTAGTGTATTTTTCCTTGGGAATACAGATACACTTTGAGTGGCTTGGTTGGTTGACAACAGGCTTTTTCCTATATAAGTAGCATCCTCATATACATGATGACTCAGAACATAGAAGTATACACCTATAGCTGACGTTGATAATGCCTGTTGAATCTTAAAATATGATAGTTGCTTTACCAAAGCATTGTAAGCAAAGGAAATAAAGGAGAAACAAGGAATGATATGATATGGTGGCATTTCTAAGAACTAAATGGAAAAGAAGTGGAATATTACCACATTTCACAACACACACTAGTGAACTACTGCTGGTTTGGAGATCAGATGAGAAAGGCAAGGAAGTAAAACAAACAGAATATAATTACATGTATTTATGTGCATGTGTATATTATTCAATTCTGATGCATTTTGTCCTTTGCATACAAGCCACAATCTATGCAAAGAAACATGGCCAGAGTGGATAATTGAGCCTATGTCGGTCAAACTATAGCATTCATGGAATAAAAGAATATAGTGTTGACTATATATTTATTGTTCAATCACCAAACATACATATTACACCTATTACATGCCAGGCTGGGGCATCAAGCATTAAATGATGACCATAAACATCCTTCTTTCATGAGTCTCATTGTCTACAGGGAGAGCCTGATGCAGAGCCTGAATTTGCAAACCACGAGATCATGACCTTGAATCAAATTCGTATACTTAACCAAATGAGTCACCCAGGTGTCCCTGTAGGGTCTGTTACTATTTTACTTGGCCTTTTCTCCATTTATGATCCAAATAGTGACCTCTGGACTCCTTAGAAAGCCATACTATAAAAATAATTTTTTTCACCTTTCCCACTCCCTACTTTCTTTAAAGAGGCTTTCCTTTTTTATTACCCTGGCTAAAATATACTGTTACATTCTCTCTTGGTTTTTTGATTATTTTTGTCACCAAAATAACCATAGATATATAACCATTTTTAATCTCTTTGTTTGTCTTTCCACTGCACTAGCCTGACCCTCAGGAGGGCTTTTCGCTCAATGTGAATAGTACCCAGTAAAGTGTAGGGGATGTGAGATGCATATGTAAAAATTTGTTAAATTAATTATTGATTGTAGCATTCTTTGACTCCCATTTTCTCTTTATTAAATAGCATCTTGACCCCTGTCATAACCCAACACAGACACAAAAACTGGCAGAAATCATGATGAAAACAAACAAGCCAAGCCAAAATATTCTAGGGTTTTAGAGGCAATTGACCTCTTTCAAAGTCAGTGGACTAAAATTAAATGCTTTTTAAAAAGATTTATTTATTTAAACTCAAGTTAGTTAACATACAGTGTAGTATTGGTTTCAAGAGTAGAATCCAGTGATTCATCACTTATAGATAGCACTCAATGCTCATCCCAACCAGTGCCCTCATTAATATCCACTGCCCATTTAGCTCATCCCTCTACCCACCTCCTCTCCAGCAACCCTCAGTTTGTTCTCTGTATTTAACAGTCTCTTATGATTTGCCCCCTCTCTATTTTTATCTTATTTTGCATCCCCTTCCCCTATGTTCATCTGTTTTGTTTCTTAAATTTCACATATGAGTAAAATCATATATTTGTCTTTCTCTGACTGACTCACTTTGCTTAGCATAATACACTCTAGTTCCATCCATGTTGTTGCAAATAGCAGATTTCATTCTTTTGATTGCCAAGTAATAATCCACTGTGTGTGTGTGTATATATATATATATCATATATTCTCTATACATTTTTCAGTCGCGGGACATCATTTGATTGCCAAGTAATAATCCATCGTGTGTGTGCGTGTGTGTAATGTGTATATATATATATATATATATATATATATATATTTGTGTATATATATATTACATATTCTCTATACATTTATCAGTTGATGGATGGACATTTGGGCTCTCTTCCATAGTTAGACTATTGTCTATAGTTCTGCTATAAACATTGGGGTCCATGTGTCCCTTTAAAACAACACACCTGTATCCTTTGGATAAATAGAACAATTGCTGGATCTTAGGGCCCAGCAATTTTTTGAGGAACCTCCATAGTCTTTACCAGAGTGGCTGCACCAGTTTACATTCCTACCAACAGTGCAGAAGTGTTCCCTTTTCTCTGCATCATTCCTAACATCTGTTGTTTTGAGTTGTTAATTTTAGCCATATTAAATGCTTTTTAGAAAAAACCTTAAAGAGAAGACAGGGTATGGCTTTCAGTGAGTCTTAGGTTACACAAAAGCATGGCTTACCCCCTAATTTTCTGGATTTGTTGCTACATTCCAGAAAACAAAACACAGAAGTATGGTCAAAAGAATACTGTACCTGGAAAAAATAAAAGTATGACCCACGTTATGGGGTCATGGGCATTGATTCTTCATGTGGGCCAGGCTGGATATCTGTAAAAATAGAATTCACATCCTTCCTATAACACAAAAATCAATAAATCACTATAGCATAGCTAACATTTTATTAAAGAATTGCAATGCATTCTGCATTTCACACTCACAAGCATTACAGTGACAAAATCTCAGCAAGGTGTTATATCAGTAGAGAGTATCAGGGATGTAAAAGGTCCTTTGTAAATTGTCTACTCCAACATGAAGGTAGTATTAGAGAGTGCTATGGCTACATACTTCCTGAATTATTAACATTTTCTCATTTTGTTGATATACAGTTAACATATCACATTGTATTGGTCCCAAGTGTAAAACATAATTGTTTGATATACGTATATATCGCAAAATGATAACCACAGTAAGTTTAGTTAACATAAATCACCTTATGTAGTTACACATTTTTTTCTTGTGGAGAGAACTTTTAAGATCTGCTGTTTTAGCAACAAATGAATGTACTGTACAGTATTGTTAACTATAACCACTGTGTTTACATTACATTCCCAAGATATATTTATCTTACAAGTAGAAGTTTCTACATTTAACCATAATATACTTGTTATTGGTTTCTGTTTAAAGAGTCAAGGCTAAGCTTCCAGAAAATTGAGAGATCTCAACACCTTGTGAGCTAAATGGAAGTACAGTCAAGTCACTGATTATGATTCTAACATCATCATAATTTAACAGGATTTAATAAAGAATCTCTCATGCCCTAGTCACAAACATTGAGAATATTTTTTAAGTTTATTTTATTTATTATGAGAGAGAGAAAGAGAGAGGGGACACAGGAAGGGCACAGAGAGAGGGAGAGAGAGAGAATCCTAAGCAGGTTCAGCACTACCAGTGCAGAGCCTGATGTAGGGCTTGAACTCACAAACCATGAGATCATGACCTGAGCCAAAACCAAGAGTTGAACACTCAACTGACTGAGCCACTCCGGTGCTCCAACACGGAAAATATTTTTAAAGCATTGGGGTTCAATAATCCAAGTATTTCAAATTAAAAATTTTAAACCCATTTCTGCTCAAAGAAAAGTGAGAAACTTGTAATCTGAAGATGTATCACTTCTCAATGACACAGAGTAATAAAGAGTGAATCTCAACATAAAAGTAGGACTCCCACCATCCAGGCCATGTTCCTGCATGTTGCATGTATATCAGCTCTCAATCTGTAGTACAAAAATAGTCTCTAGTTTACCAACTCAGAAGAAGCTTCTTCTTCTCAAATGTCCTCCTGAATGAGTCCTTGACCTCTTTGTTTCTCAGGCTGTAGATAAGGGGGTTCAACATGGGGATCACTGCTGTGTAGAACACAGAAACCACTTTATTGATGTCCAGGGAGAAACTAGAACTGGGGCGTACATAGATAAAGAAGAGTGTCCCATACAGGATGGAGACAGCAGTCAGGTGTGAAGAGCAGGTGGAGAAGGCTTTGCGTCTCCCCTCAGCAGAGCGGATCCTCAGGATAGTGACCACAATGTAAATGTAGGAAACCAGGATGATCACACCGCTGAGCACTCCTAGAGCTCCGGCCAAGATGAAGAGTAAAAACTGATTGACCTGGGTGTCTGCACATGCCAGGGAGAGGACAGGTAGGAGGTCACAGAAGAAGTGATTGATGGTATTTGGACCACAGTAAGGCAGGTGAAAGGCAAAAGTCGTATGGGTTATGGCGCTTATAAGACCCATAACATAAGGCCCTACAACCAGCTGCACACAGACCAGCTGGGACATAATGAGTGTATACAACAAGGGCTTACAGATGGCCATATACCTGTCATATGCCATGGAGGCCAGCAGGAAACACTCTGTCACTACAAACTGACCAAAAAACCATAACTGGGCAGCACAACCCAAGAAAGAGATTACTTTTTTCTCCACAAAGATGTCTGTCAGCATCTTGGGACCAATGACAGAAGAGGAGCAGACATCCACAAAGGACAAGTGGCTGAGAAGAAAGTACATGGGGGTGTGGAGTCGGAAATCCATCCAAATGAGGGTGATCATCCCCACATTTCCCAGAAGAGCGACAAGATAAACCAAGAGAAATATCACAAACAGAACAACCTTGTGCTGGAAGCAATTTGTTAAGCCCACGAATAAAAACTCAATCACCACAGTTTGGTTTCTATAATCCATTTCTCTGATTTCATCTGTAAGGAGAAAGAGAAAGATTTTTCTTTACCATCAATTTGTAATTAAATTATTTTTAAATGAATTTAACCTCAATTATTTTTAAGTTAAAAAGGAGAGCCCGGCTCTCTTGAATTCTACATCTGCTATTTACTTGCCAACTAGTTGTGTAATACAAAGTCATTAACCCTCACAGGTTCAGGTTCTTTAGTTTCTTCCATTGATTTTAAGTAGAATCATAGAATTTTAACCTAGAAGTGAACATTGGAGATTATTTAAGGAAAGTCCTCCAATTACACCAGGTTTTATTTCTAAAAATATTTAGCTTTCAACCAAGAATATTTTTTCAAAAAACAACATTTCATTGAAATATGCACTATGGGAATTAATGAATTCAGAATGATATACATTCTCACTGAAGGATAGGGGTATACTATTGTTTTTCTGTAACATAAATTCCTTCTCAGTGCCCTTTGATTCTATAACAAATATAATTGCTTGATTTCCCTAATAGATATGTTTTAATGTTAAGGAGGAGGGCAAGCTGAGATAAGAAAAGTTAGCTTTAGAACACACATCACATCCTCGACATTATCCTCACTGTGACTTTTTCCAAAATACCTTATGTTCCCCCATATCAACAGTGTATATACTCATTAATCTAGTCACTCCATTGAATTATTAAGCCACTTAAGAAAAGACCTCTTTTAAAATATTGAGTAGATGTTCTGATCCAATTAGTGTAATTAGGTGCTTGAGAGAGAAATATAAATGTTTTAAAAATTACAGGGGGCACCCCTGGGCAATTATCCCAGGGAAATAGGGATTTATGCCCACACAAAAAACATGTACAATTTTATTCAGAGAACTTTTATTTAGAATATCAAACTTTTGAAAGAACCCAAATGTCCTACAATACATAAAGTTTAAACACATGGTGGTATATGCAAACCATGGAATACTATTTGGTAAGAAGGAGGAAAAAATATGATATATGCAACAGCCTGGATGTACCCAAAGGCATTAGACTGAGTTGAAAAAGTCAACCCCAAAATTTCAAAGCTTTATGATTCCATATATATGACATTCTCAAAATGATGAAATTATAGAGATGGAGAATTAGGTTAGTGTTTGCCTGGGATTAAGAAGTGTGAGGCGGAGAGGAGAGGTGTGACTATAAATGTGTGACACAGGAAGATCCTGGTAGGAATGGAAGGGTTCTGTACCTTGATTGCTGAGTTGGTTAAGCAAATCTACACACATAGTAAAATGATATAGAACAATACATACACATCACACCTATGCCAATTTCCTGCATTTGATGTTATGCTATAGTTACTCAAGGAAGATAGAGAGTTCTAAATTCAGAAAATACTATTTTATGAAAATGAAACTAAAATATACACATATCATCTCAACTAACTTCTTTTGTAAACAAAGGTAAGAAAGTACACACACAACTGATAATCATTATGTTTTTGAAACTTTGTGTTCAAATTGAAATCCTGTGTACAAATCATACTTCCTAAACATAGAAATACGTATTATTTTATTTTGCCCTGGCCATACCCAATGCAAAGATTCTAAAACAGAACAACCATAATGTCATCTATACATGTGACTTTTGGCATGTGCAACACCAAATTCAGGTCAGCTGATTCGGAGACTTGTTTTCTACTTATAAATCCTAATGTAAGTAAAGTGAAGAAATTAAGAGCCAGAGAAGCCAAGACCTCCTAATTCTAACCATCCTATGAGCCATAATCCTGCAGCATATTTCATACTCTGTATGCCAAACACAAAATTCAACCAACATGTACATTCAAGTTAGGTCATTTAAACCAAAAGACACAGACTAAATATTTCACTTGTACTGAATCATTCTTCATGATGAGCTTAGAGATGATGCTTTTCCAGGCATCTAAACTCATTTTTTGATATGTAGACTAGTGAATGCAATTTAGGAAATGACTTAATGCAACGATTTGAAGAAACATGCCCTACACCCATTGTCTGTCTATGTCATAATGACTTACGAAAGTAGCATTCTCTGATATGAGAATGAATTACCCAGAAATGTAGACTGGTCATTCTTCTCAGCTTCTTCAGGTGTCTAGGAAGATAAACAATACAGTGCTACTATCTTGAAAACTGTGCCTTCCAATGGCACTTCAAAAAAGTATTAACTCCTTCTGCACAATTCACAGCAGAGGTTTTTCTAAAGGGTTTTTGTGTAAATTGGAACCAACTCCCTCAAGGAACAGAAGCTCAGGAGATCAGATCCATAGAGGAGATAATATCTTTTGAGAAAATAATTTTGGGATTTTGAGTCCAGAGTAATTACACAAAATAAACCTATATCTCCCCCTTTGGTATTTCCCTCTTTCTTTGAAAGTCCTGGAAGTAAACACAGGAAAAAAACATCCTGACATGAAAAAAGAAGCAAATCCAGACATTGGCAATAGCATGGGTGAAATTGGAAGACATCACTCTTAATGAAATAAGCCAGACAAAGAAAAAATACTGTATGATACTACTTAGATGTGGAATCTAAAAAAGTTGAACTCATAGTAGAGATTAGGACAGTGGTCATCAGGGACTGGGGTTGGAGAAATGAAGAAATGTTGGTCAAAAAGTACAAATTTTCCACTGTGAAAGCAGAAAATTCCGGGGATCTAATTTATAGCATGGTGGCTATAATTAATAATTAGTATGAATACCTGAAATTTTCAAAGATAGTAGATCTTAAGTATTCTCATCTCTCTCTCACACACACACACACACACACACACACACAGGTAACTATGTAAGGTGATAAATGTGTTACCAACTTGATTATAGTAATCATTTCACAAAGTATACATTTATTAATTTATCACATTGTATATCGTAAATATATACAATTCTTACTTGTCAATTGTACCTCAATAAAACTGGAATAACAACATAAAAAAAATAAAACATTTTCAAGATCGATACTTTGTTTAAAATTCATCTTTTGTTTAAAAAAAATCTATAGTTCATATACTCTTATTGTATTTCATAATGTGGATATTCCACAAATGATTTACCTATTCCTTTTTTAGCATTTGAGTTCTTTCCAGCTTTTAATCTTTATAAATCTTTCTCCAGTGGACATCTTTGTCTATGTCTTCTAGTGTTCATGAACATGCATTTTTCTTAAGAATGTATCAGGGATTTAAATTACTGTCAAAGAAAAATTACAACAAGTGCAGTCAACACAGTCAAGGACTTTGTTCAAGATTAGTGCAATAGGAAAGAGGTTGAAATCCACTCCTACTCAAACAAAACGTTGAAGTATTTCTAAGAACTGAAGCGAAGCAGAAGAGAAGCACTGGAGGACTTCAGGTGTTAGGCTGGTGGACGTTTGCTAACTGAGTTTCTCAGTGTTTGGCTCCTACCTTTGCACAGAGATAGAGAGATAAAGAGATGTCTCCCAGATCCTTAAGAAAGATCTTTCTGAGTTGTAAATTGCAAGAAAGAGGGATAAGATTTACACCTCAAAGGGACAAATAAAAAATCTACAATTCCAAATTTTCTTTTTTTAAAAAAATTGTTTTTGAGAGAGAGTAAATGTGTGTGTGAATGAGGGAGGGGTAGAGGGAGAGAGAGAGAGAGAGAGGAAAAGAGAATCTTAGGTGGGTCCCATGCAGAGCACAGAGCCCTATGTGGGGCTTGATCTCACAATCGTGAGATCATGACTTGAGACAAAATCAAGAGTCGAACACTTAACCAACTGAAACATCCAGGCACCACTAAAATTGCAAGTTTTCTAAAGTAAATGGTCTAAAATACAAAGAGGTCATTGGCCCACTTTCTGGAAGAAATCTGTCTCAAGGTTAGCCAAGCTCGGGGAGCATTGAGACAGTCTTGATCAATAGGTACATGTGTGTTCAAACTGAGTGATAATGCAAGTTTTCCACACTCTAATAAGTAATATACCAGAGCCAATTTTGTATTTTAGCCATTTTTCCTGAGTGTAAAGTGGGATCTCATTGTGCATTTAATTGCCATTTTCCTGACTTTTACTGAAGTTCAAAAATCACAGTATTCAGGTGTCTTGGTCTCTTAAAATCATTGGGTTGTCTGTCTTTTTTTAAAAAAAAAATCATACTGCTTATTCATATATTCCAGATAGAAGTCAGCTTTTTACATTATAAATATATCTTTTCATTCAGTGTCTTGTATACTTAACAGCGCCTTTGGTGTACCTAGGTTCCTGGTTCTTAATGTTGTCAGGATGTCATCATTTTCTTTTATACTTAGGATTTTTTGCAGTTAGCTGAAAAAGTATCTCCCTGCCACAGTGTCCTATCACAAGGTCAGAAAGAAATTATAATTCTCTTTTGTTTGTTTTACTTCCTTACCTTTCACATATGATCTCCAAGCCAGCAGGGGTTCATTAGGGTGTGTTGTGAAATGCAGTAATATTCCACTTGTTTAGAAATACTACCATATTATATAATTCCATGTTTTTTCTTTATTTCTTTTGCTTACAACACTCTGGTAAGGCAATTATCATATATTAATATTCAATAGGCATTATCAAGGTCCCTCTGAGGTGTACATTTCCATATTCTGAGGTCTCAAGTATATAAGAATGTTACATATATAGGAAGAAACCTGTTGTTAACCAAGCTACTGATCTGTATTTTCAGGCAAAAATACACTAACGTGTTTATCAGAACTGATTTGCAAACTGTGATTCAGCAAAAGTGATTAGTTTGAATACCTTGAAACAGAACTCTTTTTGATTGCACAGTTTTACAAAATTTTATCAAAATATTATTCAATAAAAACTCTATAAGTAAATTTGTTCTAATTTTTTTTAGTTTGTACATAATGTGCTTTAATTGGTTAAAAGGGCTTTAAAAAGTGTTTGGCCCCCTCTGCTTTCATTGGGTCTTTATGCAGGCAAAATCCTTATTCTTAAAAGATAACAATACAAAATAAAATGAAAATAGTCAATTGAGATGATGAAGTTA